GTACACAAAATAAAATAAATTAGCCAGACGCGGTGGCGCCTGTGGTCCCAGCTACTTGGGAGGCTAAGGTGGGAGGTGGAGGCTGCAGTGAGCTGAGATCCACCACTCCACTGAGGCCTGCATGACAGAGTGACACCCTGTCTTAAAAAAAGAAAAAAATCACTGTTTTGTGGTTTTCTGGGTGAAAGAAAAAAAGGGGGTTGAGACAGTATGTATTACTAATTCAAAATCATAACCAGATGCTTAAAGTAAATCATTGTATCTATTGTTTCAAAAACCAACCTCAGGATTATTAAAAGTTAGTTTTATTGGATTTTTCTTTAAGCTGGGCTGGTTCACTCAGGTCTGTCACTTCCAAGCCCATGTTTTCCTACTTTTTAACCCTATTTGGAAGGAAAACTGCAGCTAAGATTATGATCCATCCTGAGATGAAAAGTTTCACACATATACACCACACATACCCCCCACCACAGTATGATGACACAGTGACCCAACCTTAGGCTAATGGTACCACTGCCAGCAAATGCATTGTTTTCTTTATTCTAATTTTTTTTCTTTATTTCTTCTAACAGCAGCAAATGCATTTAACCATTTATTGAGATTCTCAACAGCTACCATTTGGTTTGCAGAGCAAATTGTTTACAAAGTAACTTTTTTCCATTTTTGATATTTTAATGAAAATTATGTTCTTCAGTTTTAAAGCTCTGTCCCTCTCCCAAAGAAAGACTAATAACTAACTACCAAGTAATGATTTTTTAGGAAAAGAACAAAAGCAAAAACAGCTTTTGAACACTTCTGGAACATGGGTAAGCTTTCAAAGTCAAGACCTTCTGGGCCCAGTGGAGGTGCTAGGCTGCCTTGGGACACCATCAGCACTTCCCCATCCACAACATCCTCAACAGCAGGGAGCCATGCGCGGACCCCGGGGGGCTTCCTGTTCCACAAGCTCCCCTCTCTTTTTCCTCTTCTCCCTTGCTGCTGGGCCTCCCCTCCAAATCTGCCTAATGAAGAGCAGCAGGGTCTTTAATACTGTTCGGATTTGTCAGTGGAGACAGGGTACTCTAGAAAGCTGAGAGATTCCCTGGTCCAGTCTAGGGGAGGAAAAAATACTCAAGTGTAGCATAGATGGTTTCACTTGTCCACTGAGACACATGCTCATACTTATTAGATGGATGTATCAGATGCTTCAAAAGTCCTGATGTGTAGTAGTAGAACAAAACTTGTTTGTGAAAAAAGAAGTTGCAAAATTATAAAAATGTCTGCAGCAGTTCAGGCTCCTGAGGACAAAGCTGGTTCTGCTAAGTAGTTATTTTGACATGCACAGCAGCTTTCCCTAGAAGTCCTGTGTTCCAGGGGTTTCATTTAGACCACAGGAAGTTGAAATCGAAGTTTAAAAGGTTCTCTGCTGACAAAATGTGCTATATCCATTGATGGACTTCTACTCAGTAATGAAAGGAACAAACTACCAAAACCTGTCATATGTCATGGACCAACCTCAAAAACATTAGGTAAGTAAAAAAACCAGACAGGAGAACACATATTGTATAATTCCATTGATTTGAAATGTCCAGAAAAGGCAAGTTGATGGAGACCGAAAGGGTCTGATTTACCTCAAGAGGTAGGGATTCAAGCTCTCTAGAGTACATGTGATACATACATGAGAAAAAATAAGGAAAGAAATTTAAATGTAAATAAATGAAAATAATACTTCTCCCTGATTATAAAGAAAATCACATTCTTTTTGTAATAATTTGGAAGACAAAATACGAAGAAAAGTCTTTAATGTTGCCACTCAAAACATTCTGATTTGTTGTTTTTTATACTTCTTTATGCATTTGAACATTTTAATAAGTAGAATCATAATATATAGTCTTTTGTCACTATGTTTTGGGCATATTTCTATGGCAGTAAATATATCCTTGGCATCATCCTTTTTAAAAGCTTGATGTATATTAAGTTAATCATTGCCACCCCAGAAGTAAATTTTCTTTTATATATATTTTATTGGATGCAAGCAAGCATTTTTGGGCAGAATTCATAGAAGTAGAATTTCTGGAGGAAAATAACATAAAACACTTTTAAGATTTTTCAAAGAAATTTTCAAATTATCCTTCACAAAAATTAGTTCAGAGTTTATACTCCCAAAGTGGCAGAGCTCCAGTGTCCCCCTTCCATTTGTCCACTTTACTGGTATTTAAGGAGAAAACCTCATTGTTTTCATTACATTTCTTTGGTTTCTAGTGCTTTTGAACTTTTTTCTTTTTAGATGGAGTCTTGCTCTATCGCCCCGGCTGGAATGCAACAGTGCAATCTCGGCTCACTGCAACCTCTGTCTCCTGGGTTCAAGCCATTCTCCTGCCTCAGCTTCCCAAGCAGCTGGGATTACAGGTGCCTTCCACCATACCTGGCTAATTTTTGTATTTTTTAGTAGAGATGGGGTTTCAACATGTTGGTCAGGCCGGCCTCGAACTCCTGACCTCAGGTGTTCCACCCGCCCTGGCCTCCTAAAGTGCTGGGATTACAGGCATGAGCCATGGCACCCAGCCTTGAATCTTTTTTATATGCTTATTGGTCAATTTTTTTCTTATGGGAAGTGTCTGTTTCTCCATTGCCTATTTTCTGGCCAACCTCCAAAGTCACATTTCACTTAAATTTTATCCTGCTGATTGAAAGCATTTTAACATAAACAGAAGCAGGACAGACTGTAGTTATGTAGATCTTGCTCTGTCACCCAGACTGGAGTGCAGTGGCATGATCATAGCTACCACAGCCTTGTACTGCTGAGCTGAAGCAATTTTCCTACGTCATCCTCCCAAGTAGCTAGGGCTACAGGTGTGTGCCACGATGCCCAGCTAATTCTTAAAAATTTTTGTAGAGATGTGAATTCACTGTGCTGCCCAGGCTGGTCTTGAACTCCTGACATAAAGTGATCCTCCCACCTTGGTTTCCCAATGTGCTGGGATTAAAGGCGTGAACTACTGCTCCCGGCCGAGAGCTCATTTTGTTTGCTAGTGGAGTTCTTGGTATCTTTTTATGTTTGAGGCTTCGGTGCTAGTGCTGAAGTATTACACTCACCATCTGAGGTTTGCAGGACTTTTGTTTTTAATATTGAACAGATGGAACTGTGTAGTTCTGTATCTTTGCAGGCATACAAAATGTGCCTACCATGATTCTGCTTTATATCTATTGAAAGCAAGAAGTAATACAGTCAAACTTTGCCTGGCTTACAGGCTTTGAAAGAATGGAGTATTTTGATTTAATTCTATTAACTTGAAGTGTGAAGGTGAAAAGAATTCAAAACTTACATTTCTGGTTGAATGCAATTTGAAAATACAGCCAATCATTCCCCTTTTCTTCTGTAGTAAATTTGGACATTCCAATCTACTTGGTGTTTTATTGTAGAACTGCTAGTGTGCCTGAGACTTACATTGTGAAGATAAGTTTTTAAAACTTGAGAGGTAAGAGGGTGTAAACGGTATTGTATGAGATCAGGCTGGATGAGAACTGACACTTGTAAATATACTTTGTAGACTGAATCTCTGATTGCCACTTGTTTTCTTATTAACTCATAAAAATAAAACACATCAGATCGAGGGTGGGAGTAGGAAGGAGACTTATGTGTTTTAATTGTGTGTCATGGTTTCATATCAAGACAGAACATATGGTATCTCTGGCTTTGGACCTAGAGAAGGAAACACATTTTTCTACCTACTGTATGTCAGAGGTTCTTGAACACCTGAAGGGATTACTGCAGCACAGATCGCTGAGCCCTACTCCAGAGTTTCTGATTCACCAGGTCCAGGGTGGGGCCTGAGAATTTGCACTTATAAAAAGTTCTCAGGTTCTGCTGGTGCTGCTAGTCCAGAGACTACATTTTTGAGAACCACTCTTGTCTACTAACTGTAAATTGTAGAACTCTAGGAAAGAGCTTAGTTTGGTGTGGGAAAAGAAGCTCACATGTTACGGAGAAAATCGTGAAAGAATCAACCCTTGATCTCAGCCTAGTGTGGAATTCAGGTAACAAGGAATACACAGTGACATAACACAGTTCTTGGTTTTCATGATTGCAAGTCACAGCCAAGTATCAAGTGAGAAATTCAGTTTCATTTGCAAGGCTTAGAGAGGTCAGGTGATTCTAGAAAAATAGACCTTGTGTATACTTTAAACCAGAAAGAGCTTTGAGTGCTGATTAAGTTGAAAGCTTTGTGTTTTTATTTACTTGTGACTATTTTATTTTATTTGTTTATTTTTTTGAGATGGAGTCTCACTCTGTCGCCCAGGCTGGAGTGCAGTGGCCTGAGCTTGGCTCACTGCAACTTCCACCTCCCGGGTTCAAGTTATTCTCCTGCCTCAGCCTCCTGAGTAGCTGGGATTACAGGTACCCACCACCACACCTGGCTAGCTTTTGTATTTTTAGTAGAGACGGGGGTTCACTATGTTGGCCAGGCTGGTCTTGAACTCCTGACCTAAGGTGATCCACCCGCCTAGGCCTCCCAAAATGTTGGGATTACAGGTGTGAGCCACCGCACCCAGCCCAAAAACTTTGTGTTTTTAAAGATATTAGACATGTTTCTTGTTTTTCAAAAAAATCTTAATAATGTAGGAGAATAAAAGAAATGTTTTTCCAAAAAAGAGAAATCATTGTGATTATTTTACCTTTTTGGAATGTTGGATAATATAGTCCACTTCATTAATCATCAAACATGCTATGGATTTTCCATTTTTATAGGATCTATCTCAATTGAGGTAATACTGGTAATTCTTGTACTCCATCTGAAGATGAAAAATGTAGGCCAAAATTATAGACCATGCATAGAAGCTGGATAATGAAGAGAGCTCTGGAGGAACATGTGGACACACACACACACTGACACACATATATTTAGAGTATAAACATATATTTTTTAAAGTTTATTTTGAACGTTTTAAAGCAAAAACCAGCCCCCCCCCAGAGTAGGCAGGCCCCACCCCTCTCCCCAAGTGGGCGGGGACAGCAGTTGCATGGGCAGCTTTCCTTGTGATGCCACAGGTTCTACTGGACACACTGCTCCCTGGCCACGCCTCCTTTCCCTTTTATCTTTCTCATTGACCAATGGGCTTGGAGTATTAAGGCCACGCCCCCATTCTGCATTCTAGTGGGGCCCTGGTTACGCCTCCTCTGGCTCAGTCACACAGCCGCCTGGTAGGTGACTGGAGGTGTTCGCTGATGTGGCCCCAACCCTGCCTCCCTCCCCACCCCATGATGTTAGAAGAGACTCGACAGAGTCAATTGGCAGCAGCCAAGAAAAGGGTAAGATACAACAGGTCATGGTCCCCCAACCTAGCCAGAGATCCCCTCCGATGACAAGACCACTGCCAGAGTACACACCACTCCTGAGGTACCCCTAACCCTGGCAACTCTGGGCTCCCACCAAAGTCTCATCAGTCAGCCCTGCCCCCTCAGCAAGCAGCCCAGCCTCTGCCCTTGCCCGTCACCCCATGGTGACTTTTGGCAGGTGACTCGAGGGGCTCCCTGCTCCATACTCGCCCCTCACATCCTGCTGCCCCAAGCCCAACCTCCCTGGGTTCTTTGGGCTCAGCTGTCCGAGGACCTGGGTCCCCCGATCGCAGCTGCAAACCATCGCCAGTCATCCCTAGGTGACTTTGGGCTGGTGAGTCCTGGGGATTCTTGCTGCAGATTGTACTCTCCCCTCCTGCTGACCCAAGCCTGACCACCCTGGGCTCTTTGGACTGGCATCTAAAAGGACCTGGGCACCAGCCCTATGTTCCACTCCCCCATCATGGATCAGCAACGTCAGCCATTGCACTGATGTGGTTCCCCCCACCCCAAGGAGGAGTGGAATGTAGTGATGTCACAGTCCCCCTAGGAACTGTCATTACTGCTGCAAGACTGGCCTATGATCTTACAACCCAGTCCCCTAAGCATTCTCGCCCCATTTCTAGTTCCTCTGGCCACAGCACAAATTTCCAGCTGGGAGGGGAATGGGGACTATGGGACTTAGGAGCAACAGGTTTCAGGTTGCCTTACTCCCTTTGCATAGACATTGACTTTGTGAAAAGCCTACACTTCCCCTGTGAGATCAAACGTTGACAGTATCTGTGGGTGGCAATGGGAGAATGGGTTTGATTTGGTTTTCTCCCAGCCTTCTACTCTCCAGAGAGACTTTAACATATTTTTCTCAGTTCTGCACCTCATATTCTAGTTCTCCACAGTTCTGGGACCAGACTGTCCTTCAGTCAGTGGTCTCTGAAGTGAGATTTGCTTATCTTCTGTGGAATAGATCTTGGGAAACTGAACTTGACAGCTTGAATCTTCCTCATATCATCTCAACTTGGGGTACTTTGAGTGCCACAGGATAAATGTGGGAGATCTTTCTGAAGCATCAGTTTCCCTTGATTCTCTTGAGAGAGAAAAAACGTTAATGTACTTAGGGATGACAGTCACATACTTTTCTAAGAGTATACCAGACTTCTCTCTGAAATGAGACTTGGGTTGTCCTCTTTCTGATAAATTCCCAGATTTAACAAAAAAGCTGCCTTCTCCCATGAGGACACATGGATATAAAAGTTTGGGAGGTCCTGGTGCACTTCTTCACACTTACAGACGTGTGAGGATGTGTGACTCCAAACCACACAGTGTGCAGTTGCTGCCTACTTAATGTTTAGTTTTCTACCGCTGGCTCTGATTTTGGTCTCTGGCAGCTGCTGATTCCTGGCAAAACCCCAGAGCTTGGAGTCAGAAGACTGAGTTTAAGTCCCATTATTGCCCACCCTCCCTTTTTTTTTAGCCATAATATCCATCCCTCTCAATCAGTAAGTGATTGTGAAAACACCTTGTACAGTTGTTGTGGCATTAAATCAGATGATGTATAAGAGTATTTTGAAAAACTGTAAAGGGTGATGTGGTTGTAGGGGCTGGTAGTTCTCATGGGTATTACTGCTCTTCTTTCCCACAGCTAAAAGAATATCAGCAGAGGAACAGCCCTGCTGTTCCAGCAGGAGCGAAGACAAAAAAGAAGAAAACTGTCAGTAGCCCTGAGACAACCACTTCTGGTGGTTGCCACTCACCTGGGGATGTGAGTCTTGGCTGGCCAGGCTCCTGGGGACACGGGGCCCAAGGGGGCTGTAGAGGGTAATTGTTAAGATTGCTGGGTACTGGTTAAGAATTCTGGGTTTGAATCCTGCCTCTCCATTGGCTAGGGATCTGACTTATGGCAAGTTGCTTGAGTTCTTTGGGCCTCTCTTTTCACATCTGTAAAATAGAGGTAGTGGTGTTTGATTTGCATTTCTGAAGTTTAAATGATATTCCATATTGTTGTTGTTTTTATGTTAATCCCTAGTACATGTCCTGCTGTGAACACCCAGGATACCCAGGAAATGGTCATTGCTTTTTGATTTTCCTGATCCCTAGTCTCAAGGGGGAGCTGGGCCAATGAGTACAGCCACTTGCTGTCAAGCTGTCCCTTTAGGAGTCACAGAAGGGGGCTCAGGGTGTGGTGAGGAGAGCCCCAGGCACTAGGAGTAAGAGAAGATCTAACTTGCCACCAGCTTGCTGAGTGACCACAGAAAAATCACTTCTTACCCTGGGCCTCAGTTTTCTCCATTGTAAGATGACACTGGATAAGATCGGTGTCTTTCATACTTGTTTTTTAGCTGGAGCCCCTTTAGTTCAAGTGAACCCTTACTCAGGAGTCTGGTTTTTTAAGAGAGGTGGAGGTCTGGAGCTCTACTAGATTCATCATCCATGTCCTGGGCCTGAGGAGAGGGGTCCAGTGAGCATATTAAGAGCTGCGTTGGTCAGGTGACTCCATCCTGTGACTGCATCACTCAGGGAACATTTCCATCTATTTTTTCCTGCCCCTGGCAAGGCAGCAGGTGGCCATTTGGAAGAATGGCACAGGCCATGGTTTCAATCTCCTCTGCTCTTCCTCAGCGTTTCATTTTACTCAAGCCACATCTTCCTCCTACCCTGACTTTTTTGTTTCTCTCTAAGCCACTTCTGTCTTTCTCCCCCTGCCCTTGTTTTTCCCTTGTCCCCTCCTATAGGGGACATTCTGAAGGTGCTGGTGTCCAACCTTAACCATTCCAGTGGGTAGCGCTCCCCCATTGCACAAGTGGAAGGTGAAGCAGTGCTGCGACCCCTCTCTGGCTTGCTCTCTCCAGCTGTTCATGCCCCTCATGCCCCTGAGGCTTCTCTGGTTTGGGAGATACTTTGCCTCTGCCTTGTTTTATGTTGCTGCCATTAACCTTCATCCTGTTTATGTCTGCTTCTTCACCTGCTTGATTGATTGGGTTTTTTTCCTTCCCCGCATCTTTTATCATCTTGGAAATGGTGAGACTTTAAAGTTTAAAAGTAACTTGGAAATAAAGTACAGAGCAGGCATGTGTGATTTGGGGATTTTTTTTTTTTTTTTTTTTTTTTGAGACAGAGTCTCACTGTGTCACCCAGACTGGAGTGCAGTGGTGCGATCGCAGCTCACTACAACATCTGCCTCCCAGGTTCAAGTGATTCTCTTGCCTTAGCCTCCTTAGTAACCAGGATTACAGGCACCTGTCACCATGCCCAGCTAATCTTTGTATTTTTATTAGAGACGTGATTTAACCATGTCGGCCATGCTGGTCTTGAACTCCTGACCTCCAATGATCCACTCGCCTCAGCCTCCCAAAGTGCTGGGACTACATACGTCAGCCACTGTGCCTGGCCCCTTTGCTGTTTTTATACTTTCTCTATATCCATAACTGTTTCCCTGTGTTTCTTTTTTTTTTAAATTTCTCTTTTTTATTACTCCTGCATCATCCGCTACCCTGAAGGACCTGGAGGTAAGAGGCCCTGAGCCAAGGTGCAGTGATCCTGTAGGCCAGCCCTCCAACCTCCTCTCACAGTGGGGGCTGGGTGCCCCTCTGCCAGCTGAGACAGCCCACACACACCCCAGCCCTAATGATTGTTCTCTCTACCTCTTCCCACAATCCTCCTCCAACTCCTCCTCTCTGCATGTGCCTCAGAGTCGGAACCAAGAACTGGAAGTAGCCCCGGACTCAAGGTCCACAACAATCAATCAACTCTATGAAAACATAGAATCACTGGTAAGAGTCCAGTGGGGTCCTGTGATTCCACGCTGCCAATCCTGGGCTTTACTTTCCCCTTGGGGCTCTGAAGAAAGGGGCTGGGTCCCCTGGTGCCAAGGGCAAATGGGGAGCTGGAGCACCCAGGCCTCACCTGGAGGGACCCCAGAGCAAGGAGCATGCAGCATGGCTCTTCTGTCACTGCCCTCTTTGCCGACTCTCTCTTCTCCAGACACCCCTGCTCCAGTCCTTGCCACACATGCCCTGGGGTTGTCACCTCTCAGGGAAGCGCTAGCCTGACGGTTTGTCAGGGGTCCTGTATTTCTGCCGTGACTCAGTCCCTAATTTGCTCTTTGAGTCTGGACAAGCCACCTCTCCTCCTTGCGTTGGTGTTTCCGAAGGAGGTAGAGCATCAACGGTCTCGGTTAGCTCTGAGAGTCTGAGATTTAAAGGCTCCTAGAATGGAAACCTGAGGGCCAAGGGCTCCTGTCTGTCCTTTTCCATTCTATATCTGCTGTGAAGAATTGTACCTGGCTTGTACGTGCTCAGTAAATGTTTGTTGAATGAACGCACCTTTCTCAATCACAAGCTGGCAGAAGGGTGGGCCTTACTCAGACTCCGTCTCTAGAGGTTTATGTTACTGTCCTTTGGAGAGAATCCAGATTCAGACTTTGAGTTCTGTGGCTGTGGGCAAAACCCAACAAAGACCCAAATCCTCTGTCCTTGCGAGCTTGAGGAGAGTTGACCAGTTCATGTTGCCATTGGGTCTGATAACGTTGTCTTTAAAATTCATTCCTGGCATCTGCCTACCACTTCCTGGTCTGGGGAATAGAGTTGAGGGGGCCACCCTCAGTCACCTGAATTTGACTCTCCCCACAGAAACAACAGAAGAAACAAGTGGAACATCAGCTGGAAGAAGTAACGTGATTTCTTTGTTTGCTCACAACATGACTGCTGGGTTTGGGGGGCACTCAGATGTAGAGGCACCAGTCTAGTCTCACCCACTGCCAGCCTGGGGAAGAAGGCACATCCCTCAGATTCCACCACATCCCCACAGGGTCCCTGATAACCTGGTCCCATGGGTGGGCCTGTGCTGGGGCACTTGTGGCATTCTGGGGGCATGTCTCTTGCTGTGCCATCTCTGCCTCCCCCGGGTAAGAGCTCTGTCTTCCTCTTCCTATAGGAAAAGAAAGCAAACAATGACATACACAAAGCACAGACGGAGCAGTTAGAGGTGAGTGGAGGGTGGGGAGTTTTCTCCTGTCCTCCGGAGAATGTTTCTTTCCTTTCAGCACTTGCTTGGCTTTTCTCCCAAACATTCCATTTCAGACAATCAACATCCTCACGCTGGAAAAGGCAGACTTGAAGACCACCCTTTACCATACTAAACGTGCCGCCAGACACTTCGAAGGTGGGAATCTGGGCACCCCGTCATCCTTCAACCTGGCACTTTGACAGGTCTTTAGGGGGAGTCCTTTGGGCCCCATCTCAACCTCTGTCATTACAGAAGAGTCCAAGGATCTGGCCGGCCGCCTGCAATACTCTTTACAGCGTATTCAAGAATTGGAGCGGGCTCTCTCTGCTGTGTCTACACAGCAGCAGGAAGAGGACAGGGTGAGTCCAACCAACTGCCCCATCCCCTGGCAGCCTGGCTTCCCAGATGGAGGAGAGAGTGTAAAGGTCCCTTCTGCAGGATGCAGTGTCCTGCCCAGAAGGCAGCATGCTCATTTCTAGCTGCTATTGTGTGTGGTTGTTAGAGACAGTCTGGGGCTGAGTCAGCTGCTGTGGGTGAGTTGAGGGGCACTGTGGGGAGTGAGCACTGCACACACAGCTTGAAGGCCAAGTGCCTGCCCTGCCCTTACCTGGCTGTGGCCTTGGCCAAATCCTAGGTGGGATATTGGGTACTTGTACTGTGAAGGTACAGAAGAGTACCTTTAGTACGTTACCATTTCTGTAGAGAGAGGAAAGGTGTGCATGTGTGTGTGTCTGTGTCTGTGTGTGTGTACATACTATGATGATATACATGAAACATGTCTGCAAGGGTTCGCAAAAAACTCAGGAGAGGGTAACAGGGTGGCTGGGAGACCCTTCCATGGTGTACCTTCTGAGTTTTGAACTATGCGAATGTATCATCCTTTCAAAAAGTGAACAAAAGATTAATTTCCCCTTCCTTTCTGTGCCCCCATGCCCAGCAAGGAAAATGGGCTTAGAGAATCGGATAGACCTGGGTGTTCAAATCCCAGCTCTGTCTCAGTGATCTTGGGCAAGCACTTAACCTCGAACACTCCGTGTTTTTCATCTACACAATAGAGGTTATCCTAGTAACTGTCTCATATGGTGGTTGTGAGGATTACATGGGATTGCTAGTATGGAACCTGGTGAAGCACTCCATAAAGGTTCAAACAGTGGTATTAATAACAGTAATAACAACAGCAATGTTATCTGATCTCTCTGGGCCTCTGTTAGCCAGCTGTAAGTTCGATCTCTTTCCCTGTCCCTTCCAACTTTACTGAGTTCTTTTAAAAACCAGGTCACGGGCTGGGAAATGCCTTGATCTTTACTGACCGAGTTGTATATTGAGCCTAGCCCTAGCCCTCTTAAGGGGCACTGCCCGGGCTCCTCACATCAAAACTTCTCACTCTTCACCATCCAGTCCTCGAGCCGCAGTGAAGCCGTCCTCCAGCGGCAGTTACAGCAGACCAGAAAGGAGCGGGCGCTGCTGAACGCACACGTGACACAAGTGAGGCTTTGCAGAAGGAGGGATGTGGAGGGAAGATGATCCCAGCTGACCAGGAGCAGGTGAGGACCAGTGACAGCCCTTCCTCACTTCTGTGCCCATTCTTGCAGGTGACAGAGTCACTTAAACAAGTCCAGCTGGAGAGAGATGAATATGCTCAACATATAAAAGGAGAGAGGGCCCGGTGGCAGGAGAGGATGCGGAAAATGTCAATGGAGGTGAGACTGACCCTTCAGCCCCATGTTAGATGGGTCACTGGATCTTTCTGGGCATCTGTAAAATGGGACTAGTACAGCCAGAGGTGGTCATGGGTCTGGGCTTTGTGGAGGTGGGGGCAGAGAGGGAGATAGTAGCTTGTCCAGCCACCAGCCCCTCTCTCCAGGGCCCTTTCCCCCTGTGCTTTGGGCAGGCTCACGCATTGAAGGAGGAGAAGAAGCGTGACATACATCGGATACAGGAGCTGGAGAGGAGCTTGTCCGAACTCAAACACCAGATGGGTAAGATGGGGCTGGTGTGACCTGGGAGCAGGACTGGCATCAGAGGGCTGTGGGGTGGCTTAGAATGTCCCAGGGAGGTGTGTGGATGGAAGGGCTTTGAGGCAGAAGGAAAGAGGTCTGTGCCAGCAGCTGGCAAGTCTTGTCATCTCCATGAGCCTCAGGGTCCCCGTCAGCTAAGAGAGAGGAGTGCCTATTGTCAGCCACCCACAGTGCTCTCTATCTGACATGGCTTGGAAATTGGCTTCCATCGGGTGCGAGGAATCATTAGCAGTGAGGCCAAGTTTGGGAAGCCTGAGAGGAGCTGCATCAAAAGGAGGGCTTTTTCTTTGAGGGGGGATGGTGGGTGGGGAATCCAGAGGCCCTTATTGTCTGCTTCATTTCTCAGCTGAGCCCCTGTCCCCGGTGGACCCAGCAGAGACATCTGAGGTGGAACAGCTACAAGATGAGGCCAAACACCTGAGGAAGGAGGTGGAAAGTCTGGAGGGAAAGCTCCAATTCCAGTTGAAAAACAATCAGGCCTTGAGTCTCCTGAGCAAGGAACAGAAGGAGAGGCTCCAGAAGCAGGAGGAGAGGCTCCGAGAGCAGCAGGAGAGGCTCCAAAAGCAGGAGGAGAAGATCCAAGACCAGGAGGAGAGGCTCCAAGAGCAGGAAGAGAGGAGGTTGCGGGAGGAGGAGAGACTATGTGAGCAAAAGGAGAGGCTTCGAGAGAAGCAGAAGAGGCTGGGGGAGCAGGGTGAGAGACTGCGAAAGCAGGAGGACAGGCTACGAAAGCAGAAGGAGAGGCTGCAAAAGGAGGAGGAGAGATTACAAAAGCAGGAGGAGAGACTGTGGGAGAAGGAGGAGAGGCTACGAAAACAGGAGGAGAGGCTGCAAAAGCAGGAGGAGAGGCTCCTGCTCTCCCAGAACCACAAGTTCGACAAGCAGCTGGCTGAGCCACAATGTGACTTGGAGGATCTGGTGGGTTGCCCCACCTGGGCAGCCTGCCCTCATCCCTAGCCCTCCAGGCCTTTGTTTCCCCACCTGTAAAATGAGGCAGTGTAGCCCTCACATGACATGGTACTTCTAAAGGCATCTGTGAGCCAGAGCTCATCAGGCCCTTCTCTGATGGTTGTAGGGGAGAGGGGATGATTTTTCTAACCTACCTCCACCCTTTCCGGTGACATGGGAGGCAGACACCAAGTTCTGGGGCCTCCAGCTGCAGTGGCTGGCCACTGATTGCTTCTCTCTGTCCAGAACAACAAGAACAAGAGCGCACTGCAGTTGGAACAGCAAGTAAAGGAGCTGCAGGAGAAGCTGAGCGAGGTGAATGAGATGGTAACCTCTGCCCCATCCAAGAAGGGCTGGGAGGCAGGCACCAGCCTCTGGGGAGGGGAGGTGCCAGGCCAAAGGCAGCTCCAGCTGGGGTCAGGTGACCCTAGCACCCTCCAGGGCCTCTCCATGACTGTTTCTTTCTTCCTGCCCTCTGACTTTAAGAATGGGTAGCCCCGGATATTCCCAGGTCTGGACATCATCTTCCCAGCTGGAGGCATGGATTCCCCCAATCATAGGGGTGGAGACAGTGGTATAAGAGGGTCCTTATGCCAGGCACAGTGGCTCCTGCCTGTAATCCCAGCACTTTGGGATGCTGAGGCAGGTGAATCACTTGAAGTCAGGAGTTTGAGACCAGCTTGGCCAACATGGCGAAATCTCATCTCTTCTAAAATTATAACAACAACAAAAAATTAGCTCAGCATGGCGGTACATGCCTGTAATCCCAGCTACTCAGGAGACTGAGGCATGAGAATCTCTTGAGCCTGGGAGGTGGAGGTTACAGTGAGCTGAGATTGCACCACTGCACTCCAGTATGGGCCACATGGTGACACTGTCTGAAAACAAAACAAAAAAGCCTCCTTAGATTCAAACTGGATTCTGGCCTCGGTTCCACTGGTCACCATTCAACTACTTTTCATCTCTAAGTCTCTGTTTCTTTAGCTTCAAAAGGAAGTTAGCATTTTTCTTATGGAGGTGCTGGGGATTAAATGAGAGAACACATGGAAAGCATTAGGCATGGAGCACACTTAGCAGATGGTGATTGGCTCCCTCAGCTTTTCCACCAGTCTGTGGCCTACAGTTTAAATGGTGGGAAGGACAGGAGATTTGAGGCTGGGGAAGGAGGCATGGGGTTCTAGGCAAGGGAGGAAGTCTCTTAGGCCTGGAGCAAGGGGCCAGGGTCCCGGGCAGGTGACAGAGCCCCACTGTGCCCTCGCTACCCTATTAATGGGCCCAGAATCTGGAAGCCAACCACATGCCCTCATGCCCAGGGTCTTCCTGCAGATACAGCTGAAGAGTCAAGAGTCTCAGAGTCTGCAGCAGCAGCAGTGAGACTAGTACCAGGGTCACCTGCAGCAGTACGTGGTCACCTATTAGCAGCTGACCTCTGAGAAGCAGGCGCCGCACAGGCAGTTACTGCTGCAGACCCAGCTCGTGGACCAGCTGCAGCAGCAGGAAGCTCAGGGCAAAGCGGTGGCTGAGATGGCCTGCCAAAAGTTGCAGGAGACCCAGGAGAGAACCCCATGCCTCCTTCCCCAGTCGCTGAGGACAGGGCCCCGAGGGGGATGACCTGGCAACCTCTGTGCCTTCTCACTCTGTTTTCCATTCCCTTAGGAGCACCTAGAAGCTGCCAACCAGCAGAACCAACAGCTAGAGACCCAGCTGAGTCTCATGGCTCTCCCTGGACAAGGTACAGGAGACCACTCAGGGGAAGAGGAGAGAGCCCCAGGAGGAAGAGGGGACTGTTAGCAGCATAGGATTGAGGGGTTGGAAGAGACCTTTAGAACAGCTGGTTGTTATGCCAACCGGGTGTCTGCACTAAGTTCGGCATCAATATGATGACCTCCCGGGAGCAGGGGGCCACCAGGTTGCCTAAGGATGAGTGAACTGGCCCAGATCAGAAAGGGAGCAGGTCAGAACTCCCACACCAACCGCTAGTGTGACTGTGCCTGGGCAATATAGAAGATCTTGGATCTTATAAGAAAAATAAAGAACAGCAGCTCATTCCCCTCTGGGGAGGGGCTGGCTCAGGGTTACACAGTGAGGGTGGGGACAGAGGTGGGCCCACAGTACTTCCCTTGTTGGGTTTTCTGAGGACCCCTCTGGCCACCTCCCCACAGGAGATGGAGGAGGACATCTGAACAGTGAGGAGGAGGGGGTGCCTCGGCCTATGCCGAGTGTCCCAGAGGACATGGAGAGCCGGGAAGCCACGGTGAGTCTGACTTTCCCTGCCCCCGCTTTGCCACCTTCCTCTGTGGTCCCTCCCAGACCCCCTTATGCTCTTGCTTTCCCCGCCTTCTGATTTCTCTGGACCTTCACCCCTTCCGGGAGCCAGTGGTCAGACACCACTTCACCTGTGACCAACAGGTGCACTCTCTGAGACCCCAAGGGAAGTGGCTGTGCTCCACCTCCCTGCCCCATTTGTTCTGTGTATGCCCCTACAAGGATACTCAGCTCTTGCCTTCAAGTGGCATTTTTGAACTCCGCTGGAGCCAGTTCCCAGGAGGAGCAGGCACGGCTATGTGGGCAGCGGAAGGTGTGAAGGCTGTGCTGCCTGCACCTGGCTCACCTGGTGGCCTCGGCCTGGAAGGAGCCAGAGGCAGAGGCCCCAGCCCTAGGGAATGGGGGTGAGTTTGTGTGTGGGGAGAGCTACCGGGCCCTGTAGGAGGCCATGGAGAAGGTGAAGGTGAGCGAGTCCTGGCATGGGCCAAGAAAAGTGGGGGTGGGGCAGGACAGGTCACTCCTGTGATGTGACCCTATTATTTTGGCTCCAGAGTGGCTTTATGGACCTCCCGAGGGAGAAGGTGGACGGGAAGCAGCAGGTGGAGAATCTAGAGCTTGGATTCATCCAGCTCTCTGGAGCGACAGACGGCATGAGTAAGCAGGAGGCCAGGGCACGGGCACAGGGAGCTGCAGGGCCTTCAGAGGGGCCCCAGTGTGTGAGCCGTGTCCTCTCACAGGAGAGCACATCACGGTATATGAGAGCCAGGGGGCAGGGCCAAACACGCGGCACCAGGAGGAGGAAGCCAGCAGGCTGGCCCAGAACGAGGAGGAGATGAAGGTAGAGGGTGTGCAACATCTCTGCGGGGTTGGGGTGAGGGTGGGTGCTGGCGCTGGCTCAGGCGTGGTAACTGAGCACCCCTCCCTTCAGGTGAAGCTGCTGGAGCTGCAAGATATGGTGTTGCCGGTTGTGGGCGACCACGAGGGGCATGACAAATTCCTCCCTGCTGCCCAGAACCCTGTTAATGAGCCCGCTTCAGGGGCCCCAGCCCCCCAGGAGCAGGGTGGTGAGTAGAGCCCTCAGGCGGGGTGGGCAGGCTGGAGCAGGGGAGGCTGGCAGTGTACTCAGAGCCCCGCCTCCCTCTCTCCGAAGATTTTCACCACAGCATGAAGCCTGCACCGGGACAGGCCAGGGAGGGTTCTCCCCGTGACAACCCCACTGCACAGAAGATCCTGCAGCTGCTTCCTGTAACGCAGGACACCCAGGAGCACCCAGGCTTGGCCACCAAACCCTGCATGCCATTCTTTTACCGGGCAGCCGAGAACAGAGAGATAAACATCATCATCATCTGAGAGCTGGTCAAGAAATTTTAAAAAATCAACAACAAAAAGTTATGGGGTTAATCCCCTACACAATTCATCTACTTCATTGGAATGTTAGAACCCCTCATGTTTGTGTTTCTAATTTACAGTTTAATTTCTTTCTGAAAAGTAAGGGAGAGGGATCTTTCCCCGATGTTCACTCTGGCATCCTTTAGCATTTTTGTTTTTAATTGATAATTGTAGGTCATTAGCTCGCATATCGAGTTTGCCCTTACATGGTGGGAGTTCAAACACACAAAGACCCACTATTTGCACAAAACTATTCTTACTGGTTTGGAATAGGCTGCCCTGCTTTTTAAATGTTATTGCAGCATGTATATTCATTAAATAATTCAGATAAAATCTGCTTATGTTCTGTTATTATGTTTGATCGAATCCTAATCACAGTGAGCTCTTCATTAGCTCAATATGTGGTTTGCCCTCAAGTGCGCACTGTTTCTTACTTTGTAATATGCCACTGTGAGTACTGACATTTAGAGTTGTTTAAAGGCTGAGAACTGGAAACAGCCTTTCCCCTATTTTCTGTGTATTGGGGATGGGAGTAGTAACATTTTGGGGAGCTTTTTAAATCTCACAGAAGAGGAAAGTGGCCTGCTCTGGCAGGTGTGCGCAGGATAGAGTGTGATTCATTTGTTCTGGTGCCAGGAATGAGCGCGGTACTATGGTAGTTCCCTTAGGATTTGTATGTGCTCTGGGCTCATGAAGATATCGCAGCATGAGCTGCAGCAGTTGGACTCTTACTCAATGACCTAAAAAGGGATTCTTTCTGAGGAATGAAAGGCTCCCATCATTGACTGTGGATGCGGAAAACCTTTTCTAGCTTAGAGCATTTATATCTACAATACATTTTAAAGTCAGAGTTCATGTTACCTGTTTTAATCACCATGTTCACGTTACCTGTTTTAATCACCATGTTCATGTTACCTGTTTTAATCACCTGTCTCCACGGCCAGCAATCCCCAAAGTTCAGGACCCATGATGCCCTCCCAGGAAACTGACTGCAATGCAGATTCTTGGGCTCCACTTCAGAAATTCAGTAGGGCTTGGTGGGGCAACATTAGAAGGTTAGAGTTCATCAGAAATATAGAATTTTAAAGTGTGAGTTCAACTGAATAAATTTGAATTTCTGTAGGAAGTAAAGAATCAAAATACCTATTTAAAGATTGCAATATATGGTCATTATTTTTAAAGTATCTGATTAAACCTGATAAGTTTTCCAGAAATGAAAAAAATCAGTTCTAAAACCAAAGCTGATATTTAGAAAATGTGAAAATGTAACTCAGCCCTATCCATAATATAGTTTCTCTAAAACTTTATCTTACAGTCACTTTAAAATAATATAGTTATTGAAAAATGTAACTGCTCCGTTAATGTTTTGAAATAAGTTAAAACATTTTAAAATATGAATACTGTAGTTTAAAACAAAGAACCTGGGGGGAGGAAAAGTAGAGAAAGAGATGCCAATTTCAGTCTGAACCTTTATTTGCCAAGTTTTCTTAGAATGACTTCTATCACTTTATGAATTCCTGACTGTATAATGGAAATACTGCAAGACTGTTGTCTAAAGTGCCATTATTGACTGCTACTGTGATGCTACTGTAATGTAATAAATTAGGAAATTGTTGCAAAGTGCTGTTTTTGCCTTAAAATGTTGTGTGTCTTGAAAACTATAGTATTAAAGATATTGAGACTGTGCAAATCCTGGGCACACTTGGCATGAGATCATCGTTTTTTATTTTTACAAATTTGTAACTATGCAAGTGTGTTTATTAAAAGAACACAAACTAAAAAGAAGTTATGGGAATTTAAAACAGTTGTGGGATGAAAAAGTTATGGGATAAAAAACGCTGTGTAAAAGTTGTGGCAAAAGAAGGGAAAAAAAGTAGGAAAATGTTTTATGAAAAGTTTTTTAAAAAGTTATGAAGAGGAAGTTATGGGATTTTATTTTTTTTAAGTTATGGGATAAAAATAAAAGCAGGCCCCTATCAGCATAAGCCTGGAGAAGTGAGGCTGGAGTCTCCGCCCCCACCATGTACCAACCACCCCTTCCCAGTCACCCCTTTACCATTAGGGGAGCAAGACAAGACCCCATCTAATGGAGGGAGACAAACAGACCCTTTGCCACCTTGACCAGGGCTGAGTCCTTAAATTTCTGGACGGTGATGTTTGTTATTGAAGAGCCAGAGGCTGGTGGAGTTGGTTTGTTTGGAGGAGGCCTGATGGCCTCCCCACTCTCACCAAAGCAACTTTTCCCTCAGGGGGCTCCCGTCCTCTTATTCAGAGAGGCAGCTGAGGCAGGACAGTGGGGCTAAGTGTAGAGCAGGTGAGGGCACGGGCTGCTGGGGTGACCCCCCTTCCCCAGTGTACATATAGTATCTGTGTAACATTTTGTATATTCCAGGTGGTAGGGCCACCCCCTGTATTGTAACTAGTGGAGGCTGGAGCTGGCATATGAGGAGGAGGTTCTAAATGTTATTTACAGCTGGGAAACTTATTTATCTATAGTATAGGACAGAGGAAGGAGGTGAGGATGGGGTTCTGGTTGCCTTGGTGATGCGACTCCTGTGTATTTTGCTTTTCATTTTGGAATAAATGGATTTAGTCATACTACTCAGCCTGGTGGGTTCCTGTTTCTCTCACTGGGTCCTGGAGTTTGTGCCACTGAACGAGGAGCCCAGAGTGTCTGAGCATGTCCAGCTGGGCTGTTGGGGACCTTCCAGGCCTGTTACCTGTATGCTGCCTGGTGACAGCTGGTGGATTTCATGTGGACTGCTATAGCACAGTACAGCCCTGACAGCCAACAGGCTCAGAAGCCTGATCTACCGGTGGCCGGGAAGGCAGGGGTAGTGTATGAGTATTTATAGCTATTTATAGAACAGGGCAGGGGCATACCACAGAGGGGGCACAAGTTTTCAGGAACGGTCACACCTGGATGTGTCAGCTCAGCACTACAACAGACTAAGCCACAGATGAAGGGGGCTGGCTTTGGGGCTGGGGAGCCACTGTCAAGTCACAGGACACCTGCCCCGCAGGCTTGGAAAGGGAGGCCTCCGAGAAGAGGAGGATCTGTTTAGAAGTCAAAGTGTGGCTGGGGCTCTCAGGATGGGATGGACTTGCCTGACCCAATCAGCTGGCAGTCAGAGAGAAGCAGAGAGAAAACAGGAGAGAGAAAAGCAAGCAGAGAGCTGGTGAGGCAAGCGCAGAGCACTGGCGCGCCACAGCAGCTGTGGGAGGGCTGGGGAGGGGAGGGCACAGGTGCGGGTGTGGCAAAGGTTCCTAGAAAAGAGGGGCCAGAAGGGAAAGGGGAGGAAGATGGAGGGAGGAGCCAGAGCTTCACAGGTAGTGCCTGGGGCTGTGGCAGCCCTCCCCAGCCCACATACGCTGGCCTCACCCATGGCACACAGGCAGTGCACCCACAGTTCAGACCAATGCTCAGCCCCCTTGGGCTTCTCTCTTCTCTGGTCACCCTGTCTTCCAACCCACTGGCCAGGGCCACCTCTTGCTTGGGGACCCCCACCCAACTGCCACCTGGCCTGATAAGGAACACTGCTTGAACCAAAATGGTGAAGCTATAAGGGATGGATGGCTGGAGTATGTGCCAGAGGCCCCTTTGAGTGGTCAGAAAGACCAGGGTCCTCTGAAGGGAGCCTGGGGAAGGCAGGGAGGGCAGGTAGCTGGATGCCACTGGCCATAGACTTGTAAGTCTTAAGAGGGGAGCCTCAGCTGGTTGCTGGGTGGGAATGCTACAGGTTTCGTAGGTGAGGCTGGGCCCTTCCTGCTGGGAAAAGCAGAAGAGGGAGAGTCCATGGCAGGAGAGGCAGGTGTGTTCACTAGGCGGAGGTCAGCTGGGCCAGCAGGCACTGTGATCCCCTTGGCTGAATAGCACAGGAGACCCCTAGAAGCAACAGGCCAAGTTGTGTGAGCCTGCTGGCCTGTGGTAATGCTTCAGCGGGGGCCAGGGACCCTGCCTTCGGTCACATGCTAGCAGCTATGATGGTACCTGGGAGGATGGGAAGGGGGCTGTGTGTCCCCGCCTGGCCTGTGAGGTGTGTTGTGGGATGACCATGTGTACGGGACTTTAAGGTTTTATCCTAGATCACCACTGGATTGCCAACAGATAGAGGAGGTGGGACCCTGACTATCACCGCTGCTCTGCAGTGGATTCGGCTCTCGGCACTCCCAGGCTGGGAGCTGGATGCCCTGCCCTGGCAGCAGGACTCAGACTGCATGACAGGTATGGTGTGCCCAGGATGACGTTCCTAGACCTCTGGCCTCCTCAGAGTCCAGCCCCACACAATGCCCTCCAAGCTCCCAGCCCCTACACCATAAACCATGGGCTCTATGCCCTCTCTGATGGCTCCAGAGAGCACCCATGTCTGCCAGCTTGGGCATGGAGCCTGTTCCAAGAGCCCCCAGGCTCAGCCATGGAGGCCATGGGCGTGGTGCTGAGTCCCATGGCTCACAGGGAAGGGAGGTGAGAGAGCCACAGCACGAGGACAGAAAGAGGAAAGAGCAAATCTGCAGCTCCAGAAAGGAGGGGCAGGGAGCCTGGATCTGAGGTCCCAGGTGTGCCCCCGTGTGGAGCTGGTGCAGTGGGGCGGGAACACCATTCATGCAGCAGGCGGCGAGGCATGTACCTACCATGGCTGATGCTCCTCAGGAGCCACTGATAGTGATTCTGAAAGACAGCATCAAATCAACATGGCAGCTCACATGCATGGGTGGGGCAGGCCTGGGGTTGGGGGACACACACACGCACATGCCGGGGTGTGCACACACATGCTATGAGGCCCCACTGCCGGCACGCACACACTAACACACATGCCCACAACACGCATACGCCTCCTTCCCTGCCACCTCCCAGTGCCCAGTACCCTCACTGGCTGGCACGTGCAGCACAGATCTGGGGCATGCAGCCACTCGGCACACTGAAGCACACACATGGGCAGAGTCACAACACAGAAGCTCACCCACACACAGAGGCATTTGCACCAGCTCCCTGCACACTCATGCTGGCATGCTCAGAGGACCATCCATGCTGCTCATGGAGACAGCGCTTGCTCGCTAATGTTCAGCTGCCATTTCTCTACCTAAGAGCCTTCCATGGCTCCCTACTGCCTACAGCATTGAGCCCCAACAAGTCATACTCTTCGGACTTTGAAGTTCTCCACCCTATGCCCCACCCTCCCCACAGAGCTCTTTCTCTTTCTGTCTCTGTTCCCTGCTTTGGCCAGTGGGTGTCCTCAGTGAGTCCCACACTAAACCTCTGCCCACACTGCAGCTCTTTACCCAGACACCCTCCAATTCCTCATCACATAAGCCTATCTCAGTCATGCCCCGGACTGCATTGAAGCCAGGCTGCCTTGAAGAAGCTCTCCCAGACTGCCCTTTTCCCCAAGGCAGGGTCATGACTTGCCAAATGTTTTGCTTGCGTTAGTAAGACTAGAGTTGGAGCAGGCATCAAACCTTACATCCCATATGTCACACCTCACCACAGACCTGGGTGCCAAATACCCTGAAGAGTCTGAACTCACGTTGGTAGTTAGCAAAGTGCTCCTACAGCCGCATCTGCAGTTAACACAGTATCCCTATGACCACTGTCTCCCTTGATCCCCACAGACACCCTGGGAGAAAGGCAGAAAGAAATCATTTGATAGAAAGGATGCTGAGGCTCTGGAAGGGAAAGGGACTTGCCTGAAGTCCCAGGGTGAAGCAGCATCTCTGGACTCCCAGTCCAGTGCTCTTGCCCAATACTGCACTGCTTGCCTCTACCCATCTCCGTTGGTCATTACCACATCCTAGGGCAAGCCCCAATCCCTGCCTCATTTTGGTTTATGGGCGCTGGACCCACAGCCCCACTCTCCAGCCATTTGGAAACAAAAACAGATGCTATTGTTTTCCTTAGAGAACGTGGCCAGTAAACAGGGCACACTGGGAATCAGAGTGAATGTCCTTGAAAGAGGGCCATGGGTCAACAAGTTCAAGCCAGAGGATGTAGAATGCTTTTCCTTAGAAATCCTTGGGAATGAAGTGGGCTTCAGACACTCCCATCCCTTCCCCGGCAGCCACCCCTATCACATTGGTTTAGACTGGGTAGGGTGGGGGGGGGGTGGTGGATAAAAAATCAGATTGCTCATGGCCCCCAGGCTCCTTCCCCAACTGCTTCTGTCCTAGCCCAGGCTTGGTGCCATTCTCACACTCTCACACTCATGTGATGTGTCACACACATCACAAACCTTGATGGTCACGCAATCACAGCCTGGTCTCTGCTCCTGTGGTCCAGAGGCTGGACACCCCCTGGGATGGCTCAAAGGAGTCAGGACTTGGAAGTGGGGACATCAGGGTAGCTGAAGGAAATCCACACACCCAGCGTATCTCAGGGTTCAGGCTCTCTGACCTGAGGTAGGCTCCCCAGGGGCTGGGAGAGGAGTTGGAGGGAATGGAGGATGGAGGACAGCGAGAAGGAGGAGGAATGCAATGGGTGGGGCGGCCGCCAAGAGTGAAAATAGAGGGAAGCGCCATGTAAGTGCTGGAAAGAAGGGGGCAGGTGGGATGAGCTCCATAGCCCCCTCCCCAAAAATGACCACCTCCGGGACTCAGCGCTCCCTGGGGGTAGGCTCTGCCAGCCCTCAGCCACACGTGGCTCTGGCATCCATGGTCCCAGTGCCTTGGAAGGAGAGGGCCGGTTCTGGCATCCAGGTCCGATGCTCTGGAATCCAGTCCCATGTCAGGGGAACATCTGACCCCTTCCCTGCCCAGTTCAGTGTTGTGGGACAGGGCTGCTGTCAAGACAATCCCCAGTCCTGCCCTCCTCCCTGAGTGGGCCAGATAGCCCATGTAGCCTCTTCCCCACTTGCCTTTGTGGCACTGCCAGCCTGGTACCCTGGTGCCCATTCAGTCTAGTCCTTCATATTGCTGGGGCATGGGGAAGCTCTGAGTAACATGGGACTATAGAGTGCACGAGGGTTGCTGATGGCTGGCTCCCGTGCCCTCCCCATTCCTGTGCATTCTTGACAAAAGCTCCCAGCAACCGAGGGTATGCAGCAGCTGTAGACACCAGCCTGATGAATATCTCATTGTGGGGAGGGGGCCATAGCAGGAGTGGGGCTCCAGGGAAATACAGAACCTGGCCTGGGAGGTGTTGATGTGAGAGGCCCAAGAAACCTCTGCTTTGCATTTGCTGAATACCATCTGCGCCTCTCAGGAGGGAGAGTGCCAGGCTCAGGAGGTCCCTGCCCAAGCAAGGGAGCTTGGAAAGGGGGCTAGGGGTGGGCTGTGCCATTTTTGAGGGCTGGGAGGGGGACCAGCCAGCCAGACCCCTCTGGAGGTACTTGGGGCAGTACCGCCTGCCATGGCTCCTGAGTGACAGAGTCAGCTCTGCGCCCCACAAGACCGCTCCCTACCCAGAACTCACTGTGATCATGTGCTGGATCCAGATGCCCATGCAGCCTCCTGGCAGGGGCATCAGTTGCACCACCTGCCCAGGATGGCCCACGGAAGGGTCTGCGCCACTCTGCCCTGCTATGGAACAACTCCCGTTCTGCCTTCGGGAAGAGGTGTTCGTTTAAGCGATGACTGGGCTGGCCCCCATGGCACAGTTATCACAGAGTCTGCTGCTACCCATGGCTGAGAGCTCTAGTTCTTCCTGGTGGTCTCTGAAGCCACCAGGACGGATGAACCGTGGCTTCACCCTCTTGGCCGACTCAGCTGCCTTTCATCAGCTCATCTGCCCCTAGGATCCACTCTGCCTCTGGCTGGCACCTGACCCGAGCCCCAGGCTCACGCCTCTGCCCACAGGCCCAGCAGCTGCTTCACCTCCAACTCCATCCCTCTTGACCAAGCACTGCCCCTCTGGACCAAGCTACTGGGGTGCCACTAGTGCCCCCACATGGTGCCCCCTCTCGGTATCCTTGGGTCCGGCTGTAGCTTCCTTCTGGAAGACACACTCCAAAACCCCAGCCCTGCTGTAGGGCCCTGTATCCCTGACTTTCTGCATCCTTCTCCCTCCTTCTGGGAACATGAACTTGCCCTGCCAGCCTGGTGGCTCCTGGAGGAGCCTGGGCCTGGACCATGGCAGGACCGGGAGCGTCTGCTGCTAGTGATGCTGGAGCCTGCACCCATGTCCACGTGATGTCCATGGCACAGTGGCCATTTGAGGCTGGGGGTGTCTGAGTGGTGGCTGCAGAGTGGGGACCTTACCTCTGCCTGAATGAAGTTCACCAGGGCCTCCCCTGTGCTGTCCTGCTAGGCATGGAACAGCTGGCCTAGCTGGGGGCCCAGGACCACACTGTAGAGCAGGAGCTGGGGGTCAGTGCCTGCGCTGGAGCTGGCTCTGAGGCTCTGGCTGCTGAGTGGCTGGACGGACCCTTCCAGATGCAAAAGGGGCCATCACCCTTTGAGATCCAGGCCCAGGCCTGTGTCTGCAGAGAGGCAGCGTGACCCTGGCGCACCACCCTCAGCTCTGCCCCAGCTCCTGGCACACCCCGGAATGCCCACAATCAGCACACCCACCTGGGCAGACAGTCAGTGTCCAGCTGCCCTCTAGCGAGAGGAGCACTTGCTTCTGGGCCATCACTCGGAAGAAGCGTCCAGAGGAAGTGTGCTTGTCGTCAGAGAAGCTGAAGTGGATGCCTCCATCCAGGGCTCCTGAGGACAGTCATTGGGTCCGGCTGGCCTGAGCTGGCTCCTCATCTCAGGGCACCCCTGCAAGCAGCAGGAACCCAGGGCCCAGCCCTCAGCACCCACCACTGTGTGAGAACAGCACGAGCCTGCCGTCCAGCTGGGCCTGCGTGAAGCTGTGCACCTTGGTGCCCGGCGCTGCCCACAGCACTACCCGCCCTTTGCTGGGCTGCTCAATGGTGTAAACCAGATGCTCAGGGGCCCAGAGTAACTGTCCATGCTCCTTAGGGCCTCCGCAGGGATGGGCACAGTGGCCCCCTCCCACATCTGGGAACACAGGCCTGTGAAGGTTCCGCCTTGCCCTGCTCACCCACCCCTTCCTCCCCGGCTCTGGGCTGCCACCAGGGTTCCAACTCTGCTGTGGCTCAGGCCCTCAGGTGGCATCGAGGCTGGCACTGCTCTGGCTCCCCTGCACAAAGGGCCCTCCCCACATTCACCTTCCCTGTCACCCCAGGGAAGGCCCCAGGGAAGGTCACCCTCCAGGCCCAGCCTCCTTGCTCTCCATCTGCCCTAGTCCTGTGTGTCCCTCAAGGCCAGCTTGTGTCCCCTACCCAGGAAGGCCCCTGTTCTTACCCTCACCAAGTTCTCACCCCCAGAAATCCCCAACGCTGACCAACAGTGCTCCTTAATCTGTCTCACTGGTGGGGCAGGGGTCTCCTTTCAGAGCCTCCGTGTGTGCCTGGCCAGGGCGGGGCACAGGTGGGAATGGTGATTTTAGAAACGGGCCCTCCCTCCGGCTGAGGGAGGGGTGGGTGGCACGGAGAGTGGGGGGCTGATGGTTGGTATGTTCTGCAGCACAGAATCAGCGCTGCGATGGGCCCAGGTGCTTCCAGAGCAGTTACGGGCCCTCCTCATGTTGGGTGAAGGGGACCCTTTTTCAGGTCTCCCACTTGCAAGCAGAGCAGGCGCCTGTTCCTGAGGTCCTGGTACCAGTCTTGGTGGGTCAATTACTTGCAGGCAGAGTTGCAGTGGGAGTCACATGCCCGGGAAACAGAGCCTTCTGGCATTCCTGGGCTCCCTGCCCCGGCCCCAGGGAGCCCTCAGGCTGAGCCTTGGCAGGAAGGGCCATAATGTGGGGAGCAGGGCCCCATTGCAGGGCTCCCGGAGCAAAAACGATGGCACCACCTGGTGGCCGCGCTGCCACACAGCCGTCCTGGCCTGTGGTTCCAGAGCACTGTGTTCCACTCTCCTGTGACCTCCGCACCATGAGGCCACCCCCTATGGGCACATCCTAGACCACCAAAGCCCTCCTCAGCGCCCCATGTCAAAGACAGCCCAAGTCAACTCTCCTGTGGAACCTTCAGTGACTCTCGCTGACCGCAGAGGATGCACCCCAGAAGCCGGCATTCAAAGCCCTGCCATGTGAGCTTAGTGAAGCCATGCCCTTTCTGTTCTACCAGAACTACTTTCACAAGCATGGAGAAGTTCCACCCCATGTCTGGGCCCTGGGTTCCTGCCAAATGGGGGCCCTGCTCTGCTGTGGCACAAGGGGCAGGAGTTTGGGGAGCCAAGCCGTGGCCTTCACTTGCTGGGATGAAGGTGGGAAGCTTATTGGCTCCTGCCCTGACACCTGCCCTTACGGGCTTGTAAGTGATTCTGTCGGGAGTTCTGGTCCTGAGCCACAGGAGAAGGAACAGCAGAGCCACCTGTGGCCGCTCAGAAGTCTGCCTACCTTACCTGCAAGTGTCCAATAACAAAACCTCCCACCTGTGTTCCGTTTCAGCACAATCTCACAACTCTCCTTCCAACAACCCCGTGAGGCATGCGGCAGCGTCCCCATTTTGCAGAGGAGGAAACTGAGGCTCAGACAGGGGGAGCTCTGTGCTGGGAAGTAGGGGACGCTGGCCTCTTTCTCGAAGCAGACATGGGGGATGGTGCCGGGAATACTGTCACCTGCAGGCCTGTGTTTGTAGTGAGGACGGGGGGTTGGTCATTGACAGGCAGGATGGTGACAGTGAAGGCCACAGGATGGCTCTGGCAGTCCATCTCGGAGGCGTTAGCCATCAGGACAAAACTGTCTGTCAGTGTCTCGCTCCTGTCGTGCACGTAGCGGATCAGCTGCTCTTCCACCTACGGACAGGCCCAGGGCTAGTCAGGCCCCAGCAGCACCCTTCATGTCCTGCCTTTGGGTGCAGGAGGAGACTGACTCTTTTAGGGCTTCAGCTTCCATTGGTGGAAAATGGGGACCATAAGTTCTGGCTCCCAGAGGAGCTGTGAGGAAGAAAGGAGATACAGTATTTAAAGCACAGGTGCTTCTGAAATGTGACTCCCCATCTCCTCTCTGTGTATAACCCCCACACTGCGAGTCCCCAGGGCTCCCTCCATTCTGCCCCCAGAGCTGGGCTGCAGTCCCTGGGCCTCTCTCACAGCTGTACCTCTCTCCAGGAGAAGGCGCTGAGGGTCCTGGCTTGAGGTCCGTCCTCCTTCTGCAGGGCCCCATGCCAGGCCGAGGGCGAGGAGAGTGGGGAAGTAGGGCCCGGTGACACAGAGCAGTGGAGGGGCCAGGGTGAGGCTGCCACCCTCGGGGTCACTGAAGTTTTGCATCTCCAGTGGGATGGCAGCAGGCAGCACCTCTAGCTCCACGCGGACACCCTTGAGGGGAGCACCCAGGCCCAAGGGCACATCCAGTGAGAAGGCATCGCTCCAGGCCTCAGGGCAGGAGTGCAGGTACAGGACCCTGCCCACATCCACTGCCTCCTGGGAGAAGCTCTGCACGGGGTCCAGGCTGGGTGGCTCATCTGCCAAGACGCCACGAGACACCATCACCAGGTAGCCGGCACTCGGTGGCTTCTTCACTGAGAATACGATGTCTGCCAGCGGCACTGCCTCCTGGGCTGCCTGGTTAACAGAGGTCATGAGGACTCACAGGGGGCCACAGAGGCAGCCTCTGAGGGGCCACTGTGGCTCTAAGCAGCCAGAACAGACTTGATCTTGCCCCACTTATTCTTCCAGATACCACTGCTCATTTACACACACAAACACACATGTGGGTTCACACACACAGCAGCTAGACATGCAGCTGGTCACATTTTTTGTTTTTTGACAGTCTCACTCTCACCCAGGCTGGAGTGCAGTGGCGCAATCATGGCTCCCTGCAGCCTCAACCTCCTAGACTCAAGGGATCCTCCCACCTCAGTCTCCCAAGTAGCTGTGACCATAGGCACATGCTTCCATGCCCAGCTAATTTTAAATTTTTTGTGTAGAGATGGGGTTTCATTGGGTTGCCCCTGGCTGCTGGTCACATGTTAATACCCACCCTACACACGGTTACAGGGGGTCAGTCACACAGCTTGAGATGCACTCCCCCGGGGAGGTGCATAATCACATATCCCCAGACTCAGTGACACAGACACACAAGTTCATCATACGCTGACGCAGTCACACATGTACATATGCGCGTGCACACACACACACACACACACACACACACGCCCCCCTGCTGAAGATCTGCTCAGGTCTGTGGCTGGTTTGCAGGCAGTGCCTCCCCAGCCCCTGTTATTACCATCCAGGACCATCAGAGGGTGCCCTGCCCCACCCCCTCCTGGAGGCACAGCCACCTTCAGCCCAGGCCCTATGGAGCTCATGCCCCAAAGGCCACATGGGCTTCCTCACCTGATGGGCCAGTCGCAAGAGGCTAAACCACCCCCAAACTCACATTCCTGTTCTATGCCTTTCCCAGAATGTTCCTCCTGCCTGGAATACCACTCCCCATTCTCTGCTACCAATGGCCTGTGCTCTTCAGAGCCCGGCCCAAACACTGCCTCCTTCCGCAAGGCCTTCTTGATGCCAGATCTGCTGGCTCACTGTCAGCCTCAAGCTCCAGACATGCAGACCAGAAGGGTCTCCGAAATTAGTAGTGTGGGAGAGTAAGGCTGAGCGGGCAAGGACTGGCCTGAGGTCACAGGGCAAGTCCTGCTGGAGTGAGCCTGCTGGAGGGCCCGTGGCTGCTCTGTGGGGTTCCTGGGTGGGTAGAAGCCCTTGACAGACCCTCCTAGTCCTGGTCTGGGCTCTGAGAAAATAGCGGGGAACATGTGGATCTGAAGAGCAGCCACCTGTCTCCATGGCCAGCAATCCCCAAAGTTCAGGACCTGTGATGCCCTCCCAGGAAACTGACTGCAATGCAGATTCTTGGGCTCCACTTCAGAGATTCAGTAGGGCTTGGTGGGGCCCGGGAATCTGCATGCTCAGCCACACCTTGGACACGAGTGGACACGAACTCTGGAGGCACACACAACTCCCAGGAGGATGGGTGTACAGCAAGCTCCCCAGAAACTCTTGGGAGCACAACATATACGGGAGCACATCTGAGACCTGTGCACACATGCAACTGGGACCACCACAGCCACAGCCCAAGTCACATGTGTACCTGGCATGGAAGCTGGGCCGGAGGCCCTCTACCTGGCCCACACCACCGCTCACCACCTCCAGCTGGTCCCTTCTGATCTCAGCTGCCTCTCCCTGGAAGACATAGATCTTCTTGTGCCGGACCAGCTTCAGTGGGGCCAGTGGACCCTCTAGGGCAATGGTCACTTGTAGCGTGGGATCCGTGTGCACTGGCCCCACTTCCATTGAGAAGATCAGGGTGTCACAGGTTCTGAGGCTGCCATTGAGGCCGTAGAGAATGGCCCCGTCTAGCAGGTCCTCCTGGGAGAAGGCTGTGGCTGGCTGAGTGGCCCAGAGCAACTGCCCCCAGCGAGGGCCGGCTGTGACATGGTAGTGCACCTCATCCCCACTGCAGATGTCAAGGTTGGTGTCCAGGTGGGGCTCAGCTGTGTCAATGGTGCCCTGACCTCCTTGAGGGACCACAAGACCAGAGCCGTTGGCCACAAGGAGGTAGGGCTCCGAGGCCTGCACCTCCAGCAGCGCAGTGGTCTGGTGTTGCCCATCGGACACCTGCAGCTAGATCCAGCCATGATCAGCCCAAGCGCATGAACAGGACTCGCCTCTTTCTGAGGCCTCCTGGGTGAAGTGGTAGATGGGCCGCATGGGCTCATCCACGGCCACGGTACTGCCAAAGAGGAGGTCCTTGAGTGTCAGCACCAGCTGGGCGTCAGCAAAGCCCGAGTCTGAAGGCCACGTCGTCTGTAGTCAGCAGCCGCCGCCCACCCCGGGCCACATGGAAGACGCGGCTGATGGTCTGCACAGGGGCGTGGTCATTCACGGGTTGGATGGCCACCCGGAAGACTCCCCGTACCTCCTCCCAGGCCATGTCACCACTGCTCTCACCCTGGTGGGTAGCAACAAATGGGATATCATCTTCTGTGGTCTCGGAGTCATCATGCTGGTAGACCAGCCGGCCACGCAACAGGTCTTCATTGGTGAAGGATGTCACCATAGTGGTCTTGTCCCGTGTCCCACGCCAAGCCAACCTCCCATGGCGGGGCCACTCCATGACCTCATAGAGGTAGCTGGCACTATTGAGACTCTTGACAAAAGAGGTGGTCAGCAGAGAGGACACCCTCACCACCCTCAGGCACCACGAGGAGGACATTGGTGAGGACGGGCGCATCTGGGTCACCACCAATGTGGATGGGGAAGGTATAGAGTGGGGAGAAATATGGCGGAGCTCTGACACGGAAACGGAAGGTGTCCTCGACTGCCTCCGAGGCATGTGCCGTGGCCCCATAGGTCACCCGGCCAGCCTGTATGTCATCCTGGGTGAAGCCCTGACCGTCTGACAGCCTCGTGCCCTGAAGTTGAAGGTTGCCTTTCCTGGGAGCCTGAACCACCTCACAGTGGAAGGCTGGGGGGCTTGGGCCTGCCTCCTCCAGGGTGGCCTCCAGGTGGGCTGTGGTGAGGGTCTCCTGCTGGGTGTTCTGAGTGTGCAGTGGCTCCAGCTGCAGCATCCACACGGTGGCTCTCTGGATGGTCACTGGGAAGGACAGATTGCTCAGGATCTCCTGGCCCACCTGCACCTCCAGGGCCAGGTTCTCCACGGTGTCCTCTGTGTGGTGCTGTGGGTCGGTGCTCAGGTACCTCATGCGGCCCTGCTCCACATCCCGCTGGTGGAACGCCTGTGTAGCCCACCACTCAGCACCCTCCACCCCACCTGCCCCCTGCTTCTGCAGCTCCCCAAACTGCAGGGCTCTGGTGACGCGAAACAGCACGCTCACATCCTGCCCCACGGCATTGGTCTCCACCGACAGGTTGGCGGGCAAGATGGGCATGGCAGGGCCTTGGGCCTTGCTGCGGTGGATCTGTATGGCCAGCCGGACAGCCACCACCTTCAGCGTGGCCGGGGGGCTGGCCTGCAGTCCATCGCTGACCCGGAATGTCAAGTCCTGTGCAGGGCCACCGCGGTGGACACAGACTAGGCTGCCGGCCTTCAACTCCTGGCAGGAGAACTCGGTTGCTGGCTCCCCAGGCTGGTCTCGGCGCTGCACAGGGAGGCCAGAGGGGGTGCCGAGGAACTGGAAGGTGAGGCCCTCACAGGCAGAGTCTGGGTCATAGGCCTGGAAAACCTCGGGCCCCAGTGGCTTCTGTGTGTGTTCCAGGATCACCATGAAGCTGCCATGTGGGAAGACGATGCGGGGAGGGTCATTGACAGGGTTGACCTGGATGGGCAGGAGGTCAGTTTGGCCCCTCCGCAGGCATGAAGGCAGAGGCACCCGAGCCGTCACTGACACCTCCAGCACCAGCTGGTCGGAGGTGTCCTCAGAGCCATCGTGGATGAAGCGGGCCTTGCGGTTCACCACGTCCAGAAGGGTGAACATTTTTTGTGCCTGGGCACCCGGGCTTGAGCTCACCGTCACGTGCCCCTCGGGTCACGCTGAACAGCACCTGCAGCTCTGAGGAGGCTGCAGTCATTGAGGGTGGCTGCATGGAGGCAACCCCTCAGGGGTCGGCTGCTTCCCCTCAGGTAGGGCAGGCCAAGGCTCCCAGTACCCCCAACAAAGAGCCCATAGGGGACCTCTATGGGGTTTCCTGGGACTGTACAGGAGGCGTTCAGAAATCCATCAACTGACAATGTGGCCCAGCCCTCTAGGACACTCAGCACCATAGTATGGGCAAAGGAGTCACTCAGCAGCTTCTCTGCTGGGGTCTGCAGCTTCAGCTCCTCCTGGCTCAGGACAAATCTGACCTTAAGAGGGATGGGGAGTGGGAGATGGGGAACAGACTTTTGAATCCATCATTTCCCTTATAAAAGCATAGTGCGTTCCCCACACTTGGGGCCCCAGAGTGGAAAACCTAGGATGAGGGCCTCTGGTGCCACTCCTCTTGCCATCCTGCCATCTCTTTACTCATCCTCCAAACACTCACCAAAGGGACTCTGGGCCAGGCCTGGATGGGCTCTGGGGCCCGTGATGTGAATCAGATGTGATCCTCGCCCACAAGGAACTGACATACAGTAAGATGCTCTCCTAGAAATCCAACCTGATTTTTAAATTCTCCTCCTCTTTCCTCAAGTGAGAGGTGCCAGAAATATTGTCTTGGAATCTAGATTTCACCCCTAGAAAAATAGGTAACTGGGAATGCAATGACAGCAGCAGACTGGCCAAGCCCTAGTCCTCTCCCCACTGGGGTGTGGAAGGAGATGGCTGACCCAAATTTTTTTTCTTTTAAAAATAGAGATAGGGTCTCATTGTGTGGCTCAGGCCAGCCTTGAACTCCCAGGCTCAAGTGATCTTCCCGCCTTGGCCTCCCAAAGTGGTGGGATTATAGGCATGAGCCACTGCACCCAGCCTGGCACAAATTTGGAATAAGACCCTGGGTTCTTAACTCTTCATGGTTTGGGAAAAGACTCAAGAAAGAGCCACAAGACTCCTCACTAACAAAGCTTGTGGTGTCTTGAAGGATGAAATGGAAAAATGAGGAAGCTGAGGCAGTACTGGTGCTGTTACTGTCGTGGACAGACAGTGGTGCTGCAGAGAAATTGGTGTAGTGCCACAGGGAAGCACAGGGGTCGTGGGGACCCAGGAGGGGGCCTCGCCCAGGAGGAGGGGATGTCCACACTGAGACTTTAAGGAGAGGCTGGAGTTAGGCATGTGCAGGGAATGGGTGAGGCACGCACCTGGCAGAAGGAGTGTGGTGACCAAAGGCCTGGCATCAAGCGACTGTAAGATGGCCGGGAACTGAAAGCAGTTCAGTGCGGTCAGAGCACAAAGGGCCAGCAAGGGCTTGTGGTGGGAAACATGGTTGGAGGGAGCCAGTGGGCAGAGCCAATTCATGAAGGATTTGCCATTTCTAGGCTGCTGCTGCCCATCCCACAGTGGAGAACTTGAGACCCTAAGATAAAAGTGACTTACACAAGGTCACACAGCCAGCTGGGGTTCACTCAAAGCTAGAGAAGGAATCCCACCCTGAATCCCGCCCGGATCCCAGGGGGACGTCGCTGACCTGCAGGCGTCCAGAGTAGAGCTGCAGCAGGAGGTGGTCAGCTGGGCCTGCTGCCAGGAGAAGGAGGGCTTCGGGCTGGGACGTGGAGAACTGCAGCTGTAGGTCTATGTCGGTCAGAGCTGTGGCCACAGGCACCTCCAGGTGGTTCTCACCGAAGAAGGAAGCTGTGTGAGAGAGGGAGCTGTGGTCCAGGCTCAGATGCTTGCCTGGAGGAGGTGAGGTGCCACAAAGAGGTACCGGTGGGTTGAAGAAAGGGGTCCATGCTGGCGCACCCTCATGGTTCTGCTATATGGTGCTGTCTGTGAGTACTGCCTGGATCCCAGCATCTTCTTGGTCCTGGCACCAGAAGGCACAGCCTCACCTTGTGTCCAGCCAGACCTTGACTTTGCAGGAGATCAGACCCAGAAATTCCCAGCAACTCAGGTCTCCTCCTTGGAGGTTCCTGGAGCCAGAGGCCTTTGCCAGCTCTGACTCACCTCCCCTGGGCCCCAGAGGAGTCTTCCTCCCGGGTCTGGGTCCCCTACCCCCCCAAAGGGAAACATCACTGGCCTGATCACCTGGCTTGGTGGTCACAGCCCCGAGGAATGGAGTTTCTGGAGAATCACCCCCAGTCCAGACTGATCCCTGCTCAGATTCCTTCTCCTAAGTGCCCTTGTGCTTGGGCTCCTGTGCAGTGCCCGCCGTGCCATGCCCCGCCTCCATGGATTGGCTGGGGCCACGGCTGGGATCTGGTGGAGGTGTCAGCATGGCCCACCTATCCCCGCTTCTCTCTCAGGCCATCCTTCCAGCTGCCATTGAGGGTGGGGGCGGGAGCTTATTGGACTGAGTCTGAGAAGGAGCAAAGGCTCTGAGGCCAGATGGAGACCATGTGCAGGGTCAAACCAAAGTGGGCCCACACTTCCTCCATTACCCTGCTATTGCTTCCTGCTGGAGAGCTATTCACAGTCCCCGATGAGCAGTCAGATCCGGCCCCATTGTTTCCACCATGGCCAAGGAACCAGGGATGAGAACAGCTGAGCTCCCAACTTCCCCAGGCCACCACGCAGGCTGAGGCTGAAGACAGGGCCTGGGAACGGCTGAGGGTCTGCTGGGCAGACCAAAGAGGGCCTCGCCAGGCAGAAGGCCATACCTGGGCTTGCCTGGGGTTAGTGGTTCCTATGCAAGGCCCATTCTGTCCCACACCGGGACTCCTCCTCTTTTGAATTGCTGCTTCCTCCAGGCAGTTTCCCCAGATTAGCCTCCCTGACTTCCAACCCGCTGCCACAATTTCTGGTCTATGCCTTTTGTGGTGATAAAAGCCAAATATAACTTTGACTTTGCCTGCAGATGTCCAGGGCTGGGGGACAGACAAACACGGGTTAAAAACGGTGATTCATCCCTCTTGGGTTTCCCTCAAACCCCGAGAGCAAGCACAGGCTGACGGCCTTGATGGGGATGATCCAGCACCAGCCCCACATGCGCTGGTCCCTGGCCAGCCTGAGCCAGCTGCCATCCGCCTGAGAAAGCAGCTTCAGCCATTGGAGGAGTCGGAGATTTGTACACCCTAAGGGCAGCCAGCCCCACTGGGAAGGATGTCCAAGAAAGATCCGTAAAAACCCCTTGGGCTGAGTTAAATCCCCTCTAGTTATCTCCTCCTGCCAGCACTGCTGGCAACACCAGCACCTTGTCTGGGAAGCTAAGAGAATCAAGCGAGCCCTGCAGACCATCTGCATGGAGGCGGCCCAGCAGGCTCAGCAGGCCCAGCACAGCTCGGTACCAGCAAGGGACAGACCAGGGAACTGCAGGTGGCGGCCACCTACCGGGGTGCCTTATCTGCAAAGACATTGATTCCTTAGAGCAAAACACAGCACACTAAAGTGAGGGAGGCCATAGCACAAGGGGTGGGGGCACACGGCCCTGCAGGATGGAGCCACCACCGCCACCGGCTGGAGCGGCTCACAGCAGCTGTCAGGAGCCAACTGTTGAATGTTCAGGAATTTTGAGAGCCAGGTGATACTACCCATAGTGAGAATATTTATACCAGGAAAAGAGGCAAATACTGCAAATCAGGGTTCCCCCTCCCCAAGAAAGCCCATTGCTAAACATTTACCTACCCAGCACCCATGGGGAAAAGGGCACATCTCCCTGCGCCTACCCACCTGTGTTAGTCAGGGTTCTCTAGAGGGACAGAAGTTATAGGAGATAGATATAGATATAGATGTAGATATAGATGCAGATATAGATGTAGACATAGATGTAGATATAGATGTAGACATAGATATAGATACAGATACAGATACAGATATAGATACAGATATAGATATAGATATATAAAGGGGAATTTATTAAGTACTAACTTGCACAATCACAAGGTCCCTCAATAGGCTGTCTGCAAGCTTGAGGAGCAAGGAGACCCAGTCTGAGTCCCAAAACTGAAGAACTTCGAGTCCAATGTTAGAGGGGAGGACATGTCCAGCCTGGGAGAAAGATGTAGGCTGGGAGGCTGGGCCAGTCTCGCATTTTCACATTTTTCTGCATGCTTTATATTCGCTGGCAGCTGATCAGATGGTGCCCACCAGTATGAAGGGTGGGTCTGCCTTCCCCAGCCCACTGACTCAAATGTTAACCTCCTTTGGCAACACCCTCGCAGACACACCCAGGATCAATACTTTGCACCCTTCAACCCAATCAAGTTGACAGTCAGTATTAACTATCACACCACCCTTGCACTAAAGGCATATGTAGACCAGCCAAGGCTTGGTCAATGTCAGGGCTCTGGGCCAGACAGGAACTGAATTAGATGGTTGGCCCTAACCACTGAACCACCTGCCTGCAGCCCCCTCCCAGCAGAAGACAGTAGAGCCTGTTTGGCTAGAGTGGGAGGGTGGCAGGAAGCAGAGGTACTTTCCAGAGCGCTGGGGTCTGAATGGGTCCATTGAGGGGCTGGGCCCTGCTACTTCCTGTGGGGCTGAGTGGGAGGGGCTCACACAGGCTGTCTTGTGCTGCTGGAGCGCATAGCCAGGCAGCCCCCCATCCCAACAGAGGCCTCTGAGGCCTTGCTGGCCAGGGCTTTGGAAACTCTGACAGCACCACTTCACCCACCTCCCAGTCTCCATTTTTCTGCCCCTTTTACGCTCTCTGAGGGGCTGCAGTTGCAAAAACCCAGAATCCCTGTCTTGGAGGTGGGGGGGGATGGGGGGCATTTGAAGAGGGGCTTTGAATGGAGAGGGTGTGCAGGATAAAGATGTAATAAGCTAGGAGTCAATCCAGAAGACTTCCTGGAGGAGGTGACAGTGGTGTACAGTCACAGAGAGGGAGGAAGCAGCAGTCTCTGAGGACAGCAGCAAGGCCAAGTGAGAGACTGGCAGGGGTACACAGGTCCCCCTCAGGTGGGGCAGGGAGGGTTTCTCCTCCCTCACTCCATAGAGCATCTGACTAACTTGAAGGAAGAGAAGTAGAGGGGAAAGTAGAATGGGTCAAGCCAGGCTCAGCCGCCTGCCTGGGGGGAGGGGGGAATGGAGGAGGTTGTGGGGAGACATCGGCACAGGCTGGATGGGACCTGCCCTTGACTCTCCTGGGTCAAGAGGACCCATGATTCATCAAAACACCCGTCCAGACCTACAGCAGCTCCATGGGCTGCCCTCTGAGCCAGGAGAAGGGGCCCACTTCAGGCCTCAGTGTCACCATTCTGTAAAATGGGCACATCCCTCCCACCTCTTCTCCCTCCTGACTCTGGGGATTAGTCCTGGGGGTCCCTCCCTGGTCTAGGAGTTTGCTGTCCATATGGATGTGGAGAAGGTTAATGGCGTGGGGTGTCTGGAGGTGCCAAGCCTTGGGCATGAGAGGAGCAGGATGCCCCACAGGTCTGGGGGCCCGTGGGAGGGGCAGGAAAAGTGCTGCGTGTATGGGCTTCTCTCTGGAAGGTGCATCGGTGAGCGTCCAGGGCTGTATATTAATAGATGTGTATTTGTGTGTGCCCGCAAGCATGTGGGTGGCTGCTGGGGGTGTGCTTTGGGTTTGAGTAAGGCTGTGTGTTTGTGTGTGTGTGTGCGTGTGTGGGCCGGGAGCTGCCAGGACAGAGCAATGATTGTGCCTGGGCCTGTCCTGCCCTTCGCTGCCCGCTGCCATTACTTGGCTGGGCCTGGCTCCATGAAAGGGGCTGTGTGTTCTTGGAGGGTTCCTGCCCCTCCTGCTCGGCGCCCATAGAGAGGTTTGCTAAAGGTGGGTATGTCCTCAGGCTTCCCACCCTTCCTCCTCATGAACAGGGCACTGCTGTCTGGGCCTGAGGGTGGGGTGGCTCCATCCTTCCTGAGACCTAGGCCTGGGGGCACAGAAAAAGCCTGTGTCCTCCCCTCCCAAGTCCCTTCTCAGGGGCTAGGGGAAACCTCAGTCAAGGTCCCCAGCAAGCCTCCTCTGGCAGGGCAAGGGCTGCGCTGGCATCTCCGGGCTCCCTGGAGGCACTGCTAGGAGGAGTGTGGATGGGCCCCTGAGGCTTCCATCCTGACGCCCAGCCCTCTGTCTGACACCAGGCTCTGGGGAGAAGGGGCCACTGTGAAGGGAGCATCTCTGCCCCTCAGGCCCGCTTCCCCCTGCCAGGGCCCCACCTTCCCCAGTCAGCCCAGGGCCAGGTCTCAGGCACAGATGCCTCTTCCAGGCTGAGGGCTGCTGTGGGCTCTGTCCTAAGTCCTCAGAAGCCCCAGGGGTGAGCGAGGCCACCTCCATCCCCGTCTCTGCCCCATCTTCCCATCTCTCCTTCACCTCTGGCCTTTGCTGCTGCTGTGCTCTGCCTCTGCTCCCCCTAGTCTCTCCTTAGCTCTGTCTTTGGCTCCCACTTCCCTCTGCCCCATCCTGGCTGTCCCTGGGCACATCACCCTTTGCCTAACTTCTCCACCATAGCCCCTTGTGGTTTAGCACCATGGGTGGAGATCCTGGCTCCGGGTCTAGGCAGGCAGGGGTGAGGGAGTCTGAGGGGGCTGTGGGCTGGGGTGCTCTGGGAGGGCCAAGGCCAGGATGAAGGGCTGTCTGTCTCCCCTCATGGGTGTGTGTGTGGTGGGGCAGGGGTGGGGTCGTGGCTCACCTGGGGGCTGAATGCCAGCTGTGTGAGAGCATGGACAGGCCAGGTGTGCTTCCCCAGCAGCAGACCCTCCCTGAGGTCACCTGGCCCTCTAGACCTCAGGTCAGTTCCCCTCCCCTTGCACCTCCAAGGGACTCCCCAATTTTTCTTCCGCCAGCAATCTACTTTCGAGCCAGCAGGCGGGGCGTGGACGAGTGTGTGTGCAGGAGTGTGGGTCAGTGTCACGTGT